CATGAAGAAATGTTCAACCTCACTAATCATCAGGGAGATGCAAATCAAAACCACACTGAGATACCACCTAACTCCAGCCAGAATGGCAATTATCAACAACTCAAAAAATAACAGCTGCTGGAAAGGGTGTGGCGAAAAGGGAACACTTCTACACTGTTGGTGGGAGTGTAAACTAGTGCAATCTCTGTGGAAAGCAGTGTGGTGATTCCTAAAAGCTCTAAATATCAACCTCCCATATGACCCCACAATCCCCCTACTGGGAATATATCCTGAAGAACTCAAATCACTCTATAAAAAAGATACCTGCACACATATGTTTATCGCAGCATTGTTCACAATAGCAAGAACCTGGAAGCAACCATGCTGCCCATCAAAAGAGGACCGAATTTAAAAAAATGTGGTACATATACACAATGGAATACTACGCAGCCATAAAAAAGAACAAAATCATGAATTTCGCAGCGACCTGGATGGAACTAGAGTCTATAATACTGAGTGACTTCTCACAGAAACAAAGATCCGAGTATCACATGTTATCACTCATATAATGGACCTTGAACATCCAATGTAATACTATAAGAAATGACTGACAGTAGTGGGAAACTATGGGGGGGAGGGAGATGGGATTAACGGTAGCAAATATCTATCTGGGGATGGGGAAACACCTCTTATCAACACGGTGCCTGAATGAAACGTATTTGTATACCTAATCCTTAACTGTACCCCACAACATCATAATAAAAAATATTAATCAAAAAAATGTACCATTTAAAAAAGTAATGGGGTACTTGCATAATGAATATCTGTATACTTAACCCTGAATTGTACCCCATATCATTAAAATAAAAAATTAACAGTAAAAAAAAATCTGTCTAGACTGCTATTTTTCTCAGAAGTAGTATAATTTTATCAGTTCATTTTTAAGATGTAAAAATTTGAAAACATCTTTAATTGATGTCTATATTTTGGTTTTGTAAGTCTGGAACCCAAACCAAGTAAATAACAGACAAAAGTATTTTTTTATTGCTTACATTTAATGGCGGGAAAAATAAATTCAAAGATCAGATAACTCATTAGTTTCAAAGTGGAAACATTATTCAATGTAGCATTTTCTCTGCCCAACAGGGGAGCTCAAATGAATACATGGCAGCACATAAAACAAAATCAGGAAAATAAATTCAATGCCATTACTTACCTTGGTTTAAAGGAATTATTTTCAAAATTCTCAAGGTTCTTGCAATTTGAAGCTCTTCAATGAGGTTTATAGGTGAGTATCTTATTATGATCCTGTGAAATCAGAGTTCGTTACAAGCCATATTGAGTCTATGCTATTTATTTTTGGCTTTTTATACTTCTTTGAATGTATTTTTAACACTCCATATCCAAACATTTCCTTTACTCACATTATTCCATGTTGAAAATAGCTTTATTATTCATTGAAAGGCAAAGACTGCTACAATGCAAGGTGGCCAGCCAGGTAAATATTAATCTACAAACTTAAATTATGAGAGTTTACAAAATTTAATACTGTAAAATACTTTTAATTTCATAACAAGCATTTCATATTCTGCTCATAAATTCTTTATTATCTAATTACTGGACATATAGTTAAAATAAGAAACATTAATAGCTAAGGAATGAGAATCATTTTAAGTATTTAAACTTATGATGATGTTGGTGATGATCTGAGAATGACGATGATGGTGATGATGGTGGGGATGATGTTGATGATGCTGATTATTATGTTGATTATTAGGATGACAACGATGGTGATGGTGAATGGCAATGATAGTAGAAAGTACACTGTGAGTTGGTTAATGACACAGATTCTAGAACCAGACCCCCTGTGTAGAAATCCACATTAACTAACTGTGCAGCATGGACAAGTTACTTAAATCTTGCTTGTCTCAGTTTCCTCAGTTGTAAAGTGAGGTTAATGCACTTCCTGATTCAGAGGATTTTGGTAGATTCTTAAGGAGTTAACATAAAGCACACATAAAAGAGTACCTGACACATCGGAAGAACTCTGTTAGCTAATAGCAATAGCAAAAACAGCAGAGATAATGGTAGCAAGAAAAAAAGTAGTAATGGTGATAATTGTAATGATATTAGGTACTATTTTAGATTGTTTACAACATGGGAGACACTGCATATGCTCTTTATAAAGGTTATTTTTAAAAATTGACCAAAACTCTATCAATAAAATGTCATTTTAAATTAATTTAACACAAGTTTGATGACAGGGTCATTTTCATAGCTAAATTGAAGTATTGAAAAATAAATAGACACGAACTTATTAGGACTGTATGTAACACTCCAGAAAAAATGTATGCAGAAAATGTGCGTTTGGTGGGTGTTTTAAATACATTATTCTGGCCGGGCTCGGTGGCTCAGCCTGTAAACCCACGCCTTTGGGAGGCTGAGGTGAGTGGATTGCCTAAGCCCGCGGGTTCGAGACCTGCCTGGGCAGCGAGACCTCATCTCTACAATAAATAAAAAAATCAGCCGGGCGTGGTAGCGCATGCCTATAATTCCGGCTACTTGGAAGACTGAGGTGGAAGGATCGCCAGAGCCCAGCAGGTCAAGGCTGCAGTGGCCGGAAGCGGCCACTGCAATCCAGTCTGGGCGACAGAGTGAGACTCCAACTCAAAAAAAAAAAAATTAAAATTAAAATAAAATAAAATAAATACATTATTCTGGCATCTAGCATATTTTACTGATATTAAGCAATGTTGCTATGTAAAATGCAGATTGAGGATTGAGAATCCAAGAAATTCAGATCCTCTGCTAAGTCCTCTATTCACTGCTCACTAAAAAAAATCACCTAAAAACGAACAGATTGAATCTCTATCATTCTTGCTCTGGGCAGAAAACAGAAACTATCCCATTCCTTTCACTTTCATGGCATCATCTGAGGATAGCTCAGAGCCAGGTGCCTGAGTTAACTCACTGGGACTATGACTTTGAAATATTCTTCACCTGTAGAATATTTGCAGGCAGTAATCTTTGTAAACCTCAATCATTTTTTATGAAAAGAATTTGCTTGAAAGACATTGAAATGTATGCAATTTAAAGAGATACTCACTCAAACAAAGTCACGCTGAAATCGAGCCAGTTCCATAGATCACCAGCGAAAGAAAAAGATCCTGCCCAGACACCTCTTGCAATAAGTTTTACAAGTATTTCAAATGTGTAAATTCCAAGCAAAGTATTCCTGCAGAATATTGCTCATATAAATATATAAGTTGAGTACATGCATTGTCAACTCTGAATTACTAGCTAAAATAACTATCTGATATTTGAGAATACGTCATCAGAAAGGTGAGACCAGGTTAGCCTGGCAGGCCCAAACCAACCAGCCACCAGCCAATTAGACAATAATAAAAAAAGCAAATACTCCTTGAACTTCAGCACAAGGCTTTAGATATGGCATGTAGGGAAAGTTACATCTTATGACTTTAGTCATGAGATTTGACTATCAAATGTTTTCAAAAAGTCCTTGCTCAGAGGTGATAGTTTTTATATATTGTGTAGACAAATAATGGAAACAGCAAATATCATACTTGCTCCCTAGAGGGATTACACAATAATTAACTTAATAATTTAAGGAGTATGCAAGACCTAATTTTATTATATATATTATATTATAAATATATATGTACAAGTATTTTTTATGGTGAATCAGTGTTACAGTTACCTTCCAAAGTCAACTAGATTTGAGAACAGTTAAAGCTCAGCAGACAACTTCAACAAAGTTTTTTCACTAGAAAATTTAATGAGCCTTTCCATCATTATAGCCTAATGCAAGGCAGTCTACTCACATCCCTTAGGAAAGAGGAGAGAAGTAGAACAGAAAAGATAATAAAGTAATAATTTTCTTAATGAATGGAAAGGAGCAAAAATTACTTGAGTTACAAGCAAATTAGGTGTGGGGTTGGAATAGTGGAGAAGATCTGAGTCACTGTAACATTATATTAATCATTAATAAATATGAAATTACATAATGTAACAAAATATAATATATTATATAATTTAATGTTATTAAATTAAAATATTAAAATAAAATATAATTATATATATTATCATGCATAAAAATTATATAACTTACTCTAATGCTGGTCCCCATTTTGGCAAATTACTCATGGACAGAAATATACAATCAGTCAGGACGCTAATTAAGATTAACAGGCGGAAAAATGTAGGTTATAGTCAAAGAAAAACATAATAAATAATATAGGAAAATATACATTTCCATAATATATGCATATGCACATGAGATGAAATATTTTCTTAAATGTAGAAAAAATATTAATATTATTGAATGACAATGGGAATTAATATTGGTTACTATTTACTACTGTTGTGTGAATTAGAAAATATACTTTATAAGCATTTTCAAATGTGGAACATTTAATGAAGTATAATCTAGATTTCAATATGACTTAACATGAGGTATAATTTCAAGGAGCAATATTTGAATAATATATAGTTGCATTTGACATCAGTACAGTTGAATGCACAATGAGACAATAGAAAAGGATATGGATGTACCAAAACTTTGATAGTTGTTCCTCTAATACTACTGAAAGGAGATAATGTACACAAGATAGAAGCAGCATTGAATCTGAAGATAGTTCTGTTTTTATTTAATACTATGAAAGTCTGTAAGAGAAAAATAATGAAGTGAAATTAACACTCAGAACTATAATCTTATCAATTATGCAACATATTATCAATGATCATTAGTCTTGGATTCTAATAGCCATACTTTCCTTCTTTTTAATATTCTTTTTACAAACTAAGCCATATTCATATTCATATTTAGGCTTATCTATCATTTTTGTTTTATTTTGTTTTGTTATACCCAAAAAAGCCCTTTGCCACATACCACATCCCTAGGTCTCCTCAGAGAACTAATACTATAGGAAGAACACAACATCCTGATGGCTCATGGAGACACACTTAAAAATACCAGAGGTAGCCGGGCTCGGTGGCTCAGCATGTAATACCGGGCCTTTGGGAGGCTGAGGTGAGTGAATTGCCTGAGCCTGCGGGTTCGAGACCCGCCTGGGCAGCGAGACCTCATCTCTACAATAAATCAAAAAATCAGCCGGGCATGGTGGCGCATGCCTGTAAATCCGTCTACTCGGAAGGCTGAGGCGGAAGGATCGCCGGAGCCCAGCAGGCCAAGGCTGTGGTGGCTGGGAGCAGCCACTGCACTCCAGTCTGGGCGACAGAGTGAGACTCCAACTCAAAAAAAAAAAAAAAAAATACCAGAGGTGGTACTTCTGATAATGTAATATGTAAAAAAGTTAGGTTTCATTTCAGAGCAAATCCAATGTGCGGGTCACAATAGTAAAGAAGCTCTAATGTACTGAAATTGCACATTGATCATTGAAAATTATGTATGAAAGAATCCAACTTGCTTGGATATCATTACCATAAACATATCCAAACTTATGTCATGTAAAATAATATTTTTAGACACTAAAAATTAAAATTCTAACAAAAAATAATGAGAGATCAGAAATACCTTGAAGTTACCATTGAGACATGTATGCATATATGTTGTATGTATGTTTGTATAGTGCATGCATCCATGTATACATATACATGCATATGAATAAATGTGTACATTTTTGTATATCTGTGTTTGTATATGAATTCAGAGGAAATGTGTGTATGTGTATATATATACACACACTACATATTCATTTGGAAAAAATATTTGTTGAGGGAGATGCATAAATATAAATTGTGAAGATTTTATAGTTTATAGTATAAAATAGTATATTTATAATCTATAACTTATAATATTGAGATATAATATATTGTAGAATACTAAAATTATATATTAAATATAATCTATTATGTGCTTCATGATTATATATTGTACAATTAGACAGAAATAACTATTGATATTTATATTTGTATATAGAGATAAAAGTATTATTTAACACAATTATGGGTTCACCAATATTTCATTAATACATGTTCTAAATGGAAACCAAATCATGACATAATTCTCCACAGTAAAACACTTTTCCAACATATAATCTATGAAGACTTTGCCCTGTATTATAATTATTTTTCCTGCCTTCTATTTTTTTTTTTTTTTTTTTAGTTGTAGTCCCTCTGTCACTCAGTCTAGAGTACAGTGGCACTATCATGGCTTACTGTAGCCTCGACTTCCTGGGCTCAGGTGATCTTCCTTCCTCAGTCTCCCAAGTAGCTGGGACTACAGATGCTTACTACCAAGCTCAACTAATTTTTTTTTTTCTTACAGATGAGGTCTCACTTTGTTGCCCAGGCTCGTCTTGAACTCCTGGGCTCAAGCAATCCTCCTGCTTTGGTCTCCCAAAGTGGCAGGATTACAGAAGTAAGCCACCACACTCGGCCCCCTCTTTCTATTTTAAATTCAAAGAAAGAATAAAAACTAAAAAAAGTCAAATAAAATTAATCTCATTACTTAAAATGCACTCTCCAAACTATTTTTCAGAACAATCTCAAACTTCACACAAGATGTAATTTATGTGCAACCAACCAATTTATGTCATTGCAAAGAAATGAGCAATTTCGATATAATAATTTCCCAATTTTAAGGGCAGAAATTGTTTTATCAACCTTGTAACTATTTATATTATGCCATCTTTAACAGAATATAGCTCAAAGTTTAAACACCTTGGTGTCATTGATAACAACACTTTTTGATATTAAGTTAACCTTTCAGTTTTGGCCCCAGGTGTTTTATGGTAATTAGACCATTAGCAACTCTGTGCCTTGCTTTATTTTTCAAAATCCTTGGTTTTGATTTCAGTAACATACCTAGCTTTGTCTACCATATCTGTATACACTGCAGGATACCCAAAGTCCTGCTATATTACACCTATCCCTGAGGTTACTGTGTCATATCAAGTTATGATGTAAGCATAACAAAAACAATGCAGAGGCAATTGAGATGACAGTTAACAAACACTTTCACTAAAGCATTCACAATTAGGCAAGTATTTTATAATTAACTTTGCATAATGCCTACAAAGGCTACCAGAGATACTAGAGTCTTTTAAAATTAATATATATATTTTTACTGTAAAATGTCATTATTCTTCCACCATGAAAAGTAATCCAAGGGATTGTAGCTATTTGAAAAAATTGTTTTATCTTCTGTCCAGAGACTTTGGTTCAATTCCATTTTACCAGGGTGACAATACCATTGAATATTCTATAAGAGTATCAAACTACACTTGTCTACTCTGAGACTAACCCTCAACTCCCCCAAACTTGATGTTCATCATTATTATTACATTTTGTCAGTGGCAGTACTATTCTTCCAAGCAGAAAACTTTGTCACTTTTAGTCACTCAAATGCTGCTGTTTCTTTTTAGGTTTGCTATGTTTCTTTTCTCTGAGGCACTACTACAATCCTGGCCTTTTGACTTTTGGCCTGAATTACTTTTTCTCCTTTTCATCTTTCTGACTCTAATATATTCCCCGCAATAGTAATTTACAAATCTGCCGAATAAACTTTACCTAATTACACACTTGCAGTCAACACATCTCATCTTATATCCCACAACTCACATCACAGCTAAGTTTCTGGCTATAGTATCACTCTCTCTTTTTCCCATTCCAGGATCAATCACTGCTTTTGCCTGCTCTTAGAAGGTTTTCCTTTGCCTTACTAAAAATTCTACTTAATGATTCTTCCAGTTCACTGGATCACACAGATCTCTACTTTTTCTAAATACAGCAATTCTCAGATTCAACATTCTGTGCTAGTATTGGGACTGTACATATATTAATAGGTGCCTCAAGTCATTCTGGAGATAAGATAAATTGTGAACACATGCATGCATGAATGAATAAAAATGATAAATAACATACAGTTTGGATTTACATTCTATAACTTATGAGTTAGCTCATCAAATGGAATATTTTACATTATTGTGCATATTGTTGACATTTTATAGTAACTTTAAAATTGATAGCCTTAAATGTCCAATCAGCCAGCATGCCACCTTAAAACAAGTCATTTACATTAACATATATATATAGTGTGTGTGTATATATATGTGGTCATATATATATATACACACACACATATATATTTCACCATGAACAGTAATCTAAGGAATTGTAGTTATTTTTAAAAATTGCTTTGTCTTCTGTCCTGAGACTTTGGTTCAGTTCCTGTTACCAGGGTGATAATACCATTCTACAAGAATATCAAACCACGGTGTGGCTAACCCTCACTTCCCCCACACTTGATGTCCATTATTATTATTTCATTTTGTCAGTGACAGTACTATCTATCTATCTACCTACCTATCTATCTATATGTCTTAATACAATAATATATATAAAGTATTACATATTAATGTTTTATATTTTATATATATATACATATACATATATATACACGCACACATATATATATATACACACGCACACACATATATATATATATGACCAAAACAAACTAACAAACTACCCAATCAAGTAGGATAGCAGTTTTGGAAAAAAATCTCAAATATGAATGCTTCTAAAATGAAATATCTTATGCAGTTCTGTATAATTAAAATTCACTCTTGCTCTTTCTTCATTCTCTATCTTTGTGTGTGTGTGTGTGTGTGTGTGTGTGTGTGTGTGTGTGTGTGTGTCAGAATCTCACTCTCTTGCTCAGGCTGGAGTGCAGTGGCACACTCATGGCCAAATGCAGTCTCGACCTGCTGGGCTCAGGAGATCCTTCTGCCTCATCCTTCCAAGTAGCTGGAACTACAGGTAGGTGCCACCACGACCAGCTAATTTGTTTTTTAATTTATCGTAGAGACGAAGTCTCACCATATGCCCAGGCTGGTCTTGAACCTGTGAGCTCAGGCAATCCTCTCTCCTCTGTCTCCTAAAGTTCTGGGATTACAAGTGTGAACCACCGCACCCAGGTGCATTCTCTTTTTTTTATTCTATCTCAATTTCATTTTCTGAATGTTTGAAAGTTAAATAATAAAAATGTAGTCACAATAATTTCAATTAATTCTCACATTTTTTTTCTTGTAGTAGTATGGGTCAACATCTTCCAAGGGCTCTGACACCATTCCTCCAGAAAGTTTTCCGTAAAGAAGTGGAAGCTCTTTGCCAGCTTCCAAGTCAGTGTTTGGCTTTAAATCTTCTTCATCTTCCTCATTCTGTGTCTTAGCAATACGCTGTTTTATAAGTTCAAAAGACTCTCTAGTGAAGGGGACAAAGCCCTTAGGTTCTGGCGAAGGCAACATTTTTGACTGTACCTGGAAGAAATTAATTTTCTTTAATTCCATCTAATAATTGAGTATATTAAAAAGAACCTAAAAAATATAAAGGTGAAAACTAGAGACCAGCAAATATGTACATTTTAAAGAGCACATTCATCAGTTTGGTAAAAATCTAAGTTGTCCTGAGTTTTATTTTACTAAATCTTAGACTTAATTTGTAATTTAAAGAGTAACTCAATCTACTTCATTTAGTCATCTTTTGAATACTCTTTCTTTTACTGAAATCTGCCTTTCAATTTCTCCACTTTAATAAAAGAGCTCAAAAGTTGCTACATATTTTTTTCTCCTGGCCAAATCCAATCATTTCCCTGTGAATTGTATTTAACAAGTGACTACACTTTTCTACCCTAAACTTAGTCTTCTTTGGCTCTGGGACCCACTCCTCTGTGTCGTTTTTTATATCTCAGATTCTTTCCCTTTACTTAATTGTAGTATGGGTCAAATTTTAACTGATATCCATTAAAGTTCTGCCTTTTTTCCTTTGTGATATACATCATTTTGACACATGCATGGGAAACACAGAGTTGAAATTGCTCTATGCATATAAATATTTACTAGTACATATGGCTATTTCCCAAACATAATAGAAATGAGCTCTCAGGTCTGGCCATTATGAATTCTGAATACTATCTATTTACATATCCACTTGAAAGTAGTCATCTTTTTAATTGTATATTTGGGATTTTCTACTAGTCTTCACATATTTCAGCTCTAGTCTTTACCTATTTCAAGTCATTCTTCAGGTCACTCAATACGGTTTCATCAAATATAATTTCATACATCAATTACCCATTCATGAACTTTGTTCTTTCCTCACATATACAAATATGTTCTTTTGCTGATTTGTTCCCATCCAATTCCTATGAAAATTTAGTCATCAAGTAATCCTACTCAATGTCAAATAACTGATTTTTCTTGTTTGCTTAAACACTCTCTGTAATTTTATTACTGCAATTAAGAATAAGAAATTTTGTATTTGGTATTGTGGCATTTTATATCTGTATATTTTCTCTCACAATGCTGGCACCAACTGAATGAATTCCTTCTACAAGATTTTCCTAAGGCAGAAATCACACACACACATATACATACTTCTATGTTCTACTCCAGAATTTTCACTGCTGTAACTTTGAGTTGTTGAATACTTTAATACATTACTTGCCTATTAATTAAAAATAAAAAATAAGTTATTTACTAGTAATGGGACACCACTTGCTACAAGAATCAAACTTCAACTACTAGCTTAGGTAAATGATTAGCAGGAGATACTTTAAATATATTAAACACAATCTGATAGACATCCAAGGAGAGGACACCTAGTACATTTCTGTGTCATAACTGTACTATGGAGATAAAAATGAGAAATAAAGATGGAAATAAGATAATGGGATGATTACTTATGTCTTTCATGGATGTACATGTTTCCTGGGCGTTGTTTGGCTTTTCATGTCTACTGCATTCTGCCTGAAGAATAGCTTCCTTTGTTACTTCTAATAATATGCATTGATTAAATAAATTGTGACAACCTTTATTTTATCTGACTTTTCAGTGTGTTACCCCTGTACACTTATAACCTATGTCACAGAATAAAAAGATAAATAGAAATGCACTTTAATTGAACCCTGCCTTATGGAGTCATTTCCCCTTGGTTTAGTCATTTGTGGCCAGAGAGGATATTTTTTGCAACAACAGTGACAATGTCCTTCAAGAAATGTTTTAGGGATAGAATGCAAGACAATTTTAAAGAGAGGAATAAAGACCAGGAAGATCAGCATGTGTCTACTTAGAGCTCTCTTCCCAGACTAATGGTATTAAAACTCACAATTGCTCGCCTTAAATTAACTTATTTACAAATGTCTTGCACAATATCATGTACAAAATTGAGACTTATTAAAAATTTGCTAAGCATTATTTATATAGGCAATATACACACACATACAAACATGAATATGGTAAAATCTCATATATTAAATTTTATTGAGGGAAGCCAAGATGCTTTGAATAAGCACAGTATAAAAGTATAAGCTACAGATAACTGAAGTTCTTTCCTACATACAAAATCTTTCTTTCTTTAAAATATTTAATGAGACTTTCAAAATTATATTATTTACACGGAGATCCTTGGTTATACATTAAATAGTTTCTTAATAATTTATGCTTACCATTATAAACATTATTATTATATAATGATAAAATATAGTGATGCTCCCAAACATAACTACTGAATTATTCTGTTATGCTGTTAGACTTCTTTTGTTCTCTGCCTTACCAAGCATCTGTGACTTTATATTATCTTGCTATTTCTAATCTGTTCCTTCTATTGTAGAAAGAGAATAATTAAGTTTTCTGAGTGAAGATCTAAAGGTTGTTTGACCTTTTCAAAGAAAAATTCACGGGCTTTGTGACCATTAGTGGCTGCTCAGGGACTTGTTTCTTTTTACACGAACTAATCCTTTATTTTTTTTTTTCACAAAAATCCTTGATTACTTAATGAAGCAAATGAAATAAAAATATATATATATATTTGGATTTTAGTAAGTCAACGAGCAAAATGTCTCAAAATATGAAAAACTATGTACTGGATAGTATTAAAATAAGATAGGTTTATACAATGACTCAGGGTCTTTGTTTAAAGACTGGTGACCAGTGGTTGTGGCACACCACTCTGTATTCTACATGACTTATTAAACATATCAACAATTTAGGTCATGGTGGAGGAACAGTAGTAGAAACAAATACAACAAACTCAATTATGAACCTTGAACTTAGACCTACATTCAAACTTTAAACTCCCTTAATAGTGTTCTAAGAGGCCTCAGTCAAATTACTTAATAATCTTGAACTATTTTTATCGGTCATAATATTGAGATTCCTCCTTAGGTTAGATAAAGATAAAACAAAATAATATGAGTGAAAATACCTAGTATAGTGATTGGCACATAATACATGGAAATATATATAAATTTTTTATTGTGATAAAATTTGGTATTTTAGAATGGTAGGCCAAATTTAATAGAATAATATATAATAGGAATACATATAAGATTTTGAAATTTGGACTAAAATAACTTGTCTATAAGTACAGTAGAGAAGAGATATGCTTTTGTAGCAGAGTAAATGATCAAGGAATTTGACTTAATAGTAATTGTGATACAAATCAATACTAATTTGTGTCTGACAAGAAAGCTAATATAACCTTTGTGCTGAAAGAAGTTGTAAACAGTCCTTCTCTATTGTGCAGTAATCCAAGAACAACATACTCAGAGGGATGAACATAAACTGGAGGATCTTCAAATGGGATCAGAATGTTGATTAAAGTAAAATGACACCATATACAGACAAGTTAAAAGAACAAAGGGTGGCCAGGCACGGTGGCTCAAGCCTGTAATCCCAGCACTTTGGGAGGCCAAGGTGAGGGGATTGCCTGAGCCCATGGGTTCGAGAACAGCCTGGGAAACTTGGCAAGACCTCATCTCTACAATAAATCAAAAAATTAGCCAGGTGTGGTAGTGCGTGTCTGTAGTTCCAGGTACGAGGAAGGCAGAGGCAGAAGGATTGCCTGAGCCCAGCAGGTTGAGGCTGCAGAGGCTGTAAGCATGCCACGTCAATCCAGCCTGGGTGACAGAGTGAGACTCCAATTCAAAAACAAAAACAAAAAGAACAAAGGGTGTCTAACTGAGGCAGAAAAGACTCAAATGAATCTTACTGTTTCCAAGTATCTGGATAATTCTTATGTGGAAGATAAATTAGACTCCTTTATTATTCAAAAAGTATGAACTAGGATCAATGAGCTGAAGCCAGAACAGATTTGGCTCAAGATAATAAAAAGCTTTCTACATAGCTGTCAAAAATGAAATGGGTAGATTTGGGCATTAGGCCTTCCTCTTAGCTAGCAATGTGGAAACATGGGTTTGTTGACAGATGGGATGACTTAAATAGATCCAAGTATTGATGGGTAATGGTAATACTCTGTAATCTATCATTAAGATATTTGGATTGAATTTGTTGCACAGTATCACGTGATTTAAAAGTGTGGGCTAAGCCGGGCTCGGTGGCTCAGTCTGTAATCCCACGCCTTTGGGAGGCTGAGGTGAGTGGATTGTCTGAGCCCGCGGGTTCAAGACGCGCCTGGGCAGCGAGACCTCATCTCCACAATAAGTCAAAAAATCAGCCATGGTAGCGCATGCCTGTAATTCCGGCTACTTGGAAGGCTGAGGCAGAAGGATCGCTGGAGCCCAGCAGGTCGAGGCTGCGGTGGCCAGGAGCGGACACTGCACTCCAGTCTGGGCGACAGACTGAGACTGCAACTCAAAAATAAATAAATAAATAAAAGTGTGGGCTAAAATATCAGCTAAACTAAACTTACACAGCATTGAAATAACCAAAATAATATGCCTTTTTGTTTACAGTAGAAGTAACTTTTATATCTGATATTTTTATAGATACGTTCTGATTGCTAATAAGCATTATTAAACTTATTTTTATGAATATTGACTTTAAAAGTAGACACAAACTTTTTGCAAAGATGCTGCCATCGATAAAAATCGTTTAAACACCTTCCATTGAAACCTCAAGACCCAATTTGCCAGTCTTTAGTTTTACCACATTGTACAAACACAATCTCCTTTTTCTTTTTCTGTTACCACTCCAAGATAAAATAATCACTGATGCCTCATTTTGCCACCCACTACACTAGCTATAACACCTCAGTAAGACTGCCTGATCCTTACTTTCCTCATATGTCAAATTTGGAATCCCTTATGTATCTCATAAGGTCATAAAGATTAAATCAGATCACAAAGAAATCATGGACCACAGTACTGGTTTCATCAGCACTAATTCTCTCTCCCAATTCAGTCACTTATCCCAGAAGATTCTTTTAGTAATAATTTTGATGTTGAATGAAACTATCCTGGGTTGTTGACTAGATGAATGAATGGACAGCAGACAATGCCTTCTGTGGT